TCACAGGGTACTGGTTTATGAATACATGAGCAATGGTTCTCTTCATCAATGGTTGGTCAATAAAAGGCATTTCAGAGACAAGGATGGCTGGCCATTGAGGCTCAACATTTCCATTGGAATTGCTAGAGCTCTATCTTACTTACACCTAGAATGCAAGCAGTGCATACCTCATGGAAATCTGAAGCTGGAAAATGTCTTACTTGATGAGAACATGACTGTTAAAGTTACTTATTTTGGCCTCCATTCCTTATTAGAGAAGGATGTTGCCTCTTCGTCCGAGAGTCCTTTGGAGAGAGATATTTTCATGTTTGGCCGGATTTTACTTCAGATTCTTTCAGGAAAGATATGCACCGATGATGACGAACTATGTGATTCGGCTTATCAGTTGTGCAAGGTTGGGAAGTTGGGTCAGTTTGTTGATTCTCATTTATTAGTTGGGGATGCTGAAATAGATGAAAGAGTGGTAAGATTAGCTCTATGGTGTATTCAGAATAAGTCAAGTCTTAGGCCTTCCATTGGTGAAGTGGTGATGGTTTTAGAAGGGGCCCTTTCCTTGGACATGCCTCCAGCAAATGAAGCTTTCCATGTTGGGTTCCATTGATGATTTTATGGGTACTTTAACATAATTGAGGTAACTCTGTGATCTTAGAGCTAACTTTTCATCATTTTATGTCCTCCGTACTACTAACCATGAATTTCGCCATATTCTTGGAATATTGTTCACAATGTTTCAATTGTTAGATGCTTTTGAATTCCTAATTTTGTGTCTGCAATGTAATTGTGTTGGGATCTTGCCTTAGAAAGATCACTGTAATTTGTAAGTTTCATGGAATGGATCTTGAAAGTTGAGGGGACTCAACGCCGAATGATGAATCAAGAAAGTGCACAAGGAAAAATATTTTTTTGTTCATCTTATTCTATTTCCTTTATTTTCTTAGCTCTATGCAATGCCAAGGAATTATAAAGTTATGTTGTATAGTTCCTTTTTTAGAAAAAACAACCTTAAACCATCAGTACTGATTCAAAAGCCCTTCTAACATATAATAATTATGTGTCGCTGTATATATTCACACACACACACATAAATAAGGATAGACTATGTTATGGTATGGCTCATATACCATATCAGGACAGACGCTGGATCGAAGTGGAGCGGAAGAATCTGTCCAAGTTGGGAAGTTACGTGGGTTGGGGTGCGGGGGCAAAATCCCACGGTTTGGTACATGGGTAATGTTGTAATTACATATTGCACCTAGGGTCTACTCCTGGGGTTATAAATAGGTCTGTTAATAACCCCAGGAGGTATCCCTGAATTCGGTAAACCATTTTCTGATTATTGAAAGGAACTCGCCGCTCTGCTCCCGAGGACGTAGACATCTTTGCCGAACCTCGTTAAATCTCTGTGTTCTTCTGGATTTGTGTCG